CCGGCTCCCTCGCGGCGCGGCCTCCTCGCTCCCCCGCCTCCAGCGCCCGGCTCGGGCTGCGCCCCCGTCTCGGCGCAGGCTTCGCTCCACAAGTTGATCCGCACTGCGCTCTCCAGCCCGCCGGATCTGTGCGCCCTTTGCCATGCTCCTTCCCTCCGGGCTGTAACCCGTCCGGAGTTTGCCTGGACTGGGGACATTTCTGGGCCAGAACTGCGGAGCGTGTTTTGCCTCCCAACCCACGCTGCGCAGGCAGTGGCCTAGTTTGCGTGGGGCGCCCGAGGCGCCTTGGTGACTCGGAGGAAAGCTGGCGTGGCTTGCGGCTCTGGTTAAACTAGTGACAATTGGGCTCTTTCCTGTGGGCTTTGAGGTGTCCCCCATCCGCACCCCTGGCTGGGACCCCTCCCTCTGGGTTTTCAGTACAATGTTGGCTGCTCCTTTGTTCCTGAAAGCGAAGCAGAGGGCCTTGGGCTGATGGTTCTCAGCACCTGAGGGGCACCAAGTTGCCATGAGAGGCGCAGCCTGATCCGGCGCTAGTTTGAGCGGCTGGTTCTGCTTTGTTTGGGGTTTTGGTCCCTCTTAGCAAAACCATTTACAACACGCCGCGGGGGCTTGATGCACGGGGCTTAGAGCTGGTGACATCAAGTTAAATGGGCGCATAAACACCCTGGTGGCTCAAGCACAGCTTCAGAAACTGTAAAGCTAGGCCGAGGGGCCCCACTTGGCCCGGAGAGCAGCCACCATACAGCGCCACACGTCCCAGAGAGCCGCCCGCGCCGCCTCCGCTGCGGCTAAGGGCTGCTGTTTGCCCATGGGCCTTGGGCGCTCCCTTGGTCCAGGCACTGCGCAATGGTAGGATCAGAGACCGGGTCAGAGGAAGTTTGCGCAGCCGCTGGGAGCACACGGGCACCGTGGACCCAGAGAAGTCAGGGCTGCGTGGGGAAGCTTCGAGGAAACCCTTATTGGGCTTTGGGGAGACCCGGTACAAGGCAGGCCACCCGCAGGGAGACGGCAGCAGTGGCCTCACGCGTGACCGCTCCTTTCTGTCATTTGCTTGCAGATCAACAAAAAACTACAGTGATTGAAAACGGGGAAATCAGATTCAATGGAAAAGGGAAAAAGATCCGGAAGCCTCGGACCATTTATTCCAGCCTGCAGCTCCAGGCTTTAAACCATCGCTTTCAGCAGACTCAGTACCTGGCCCTTCCCGAGAGAGCCGAACTGGCAGCTTCCTTAGGACTGACACAAACACAGGTAATTCCCGAGAAGCTCGAGTATCCCTGAAATGCTGACCCTGCTTGCAGATCGGACAGGGAGCACATAAGGAGGAATTCTTGGCCTAGTCAACCAAGGATGGAAGGAGCTTAATGACAAATGCTTTTTGCTCCAGTTATGCACTTTACTGGGACGACACAGTTTGGAATAAATGACCTGGTATTGAATACTGAATTGGATTTGCATATGCTCCCAACCTTCGGCGACCCCACCCCAGCCTAGTATCCTTAAGTGACCAAACTCATAATTCAGTCGAGTCCTATTACAGAATAGAACAACATGAAAGAGAATAAACATGTAGGAGAAAAAGGTGTACAGACCAGGAGACAGAGTAAGGCCCACCTTTCTCAGGGATTCTTTTGTGGGCCCAGGGAGCTAATAAGGATTTCAACTCATTGACATAGAAAGAAAAATTATGAAGTGAAATAGGAAAAAAAAAAAAAAAAAGGCCCGATAGTCATAGACTCCAATAGAGTTTAATAAAGGCACCCATGTACAAGTGAGGTTGGTTTTTCTCAAGATTGCTGTTAAGCTCAGTGGTACAGTCATCCTGGTGATGGGCTGGTGCAGTCTGTGGTACCTCCTTGGAGCACAGAACTTGGGGGCAATGGCCAAGTTAGAGATCAAATAGAAATGCTCCCCAAATTATAGCAGGTGAAGCCACAGTTAAGTACAGTTGCTGAAGTTCTCCTATCCCATTAATTTGAAAGACTTATGGGACATTTCAGATTTCACAGGGAGGGGCTTAGGTGGGTATATTAGGACCCTGATCTTAAAGCCAGGCGGCAATCACCTGAGGTTTTTGTCCTTGTCACTTTACTTAGCTGCATGGGGTGATAGGCCTCATCTGAGGTAGGTGATCTTCAGCAAGGGGACTTCAGGTTTTATGATACTATTGCCGGGGACTGATTGTGTAGTGCCTTAAGACAGATGCTCCTCGTGCTCTTCTTTTCAATTTAGCTTTCTTTTTTCTTACCATATTGCCACTGAAAATATTTGGGGTTTGATATAAAGGGATTCTAGCTACTCAGTGACTTGTATTCCTTTTGGAAAAGCAGATTCCTATGGCAGAGGACGTTTAAAGGTAAAGGAAGTTGCACCATAGAATTTCCTTCTTCAAATAGAGTAGATTTGGAATGTTGGCCTAGATGTGCTCCTATCCCAGATTCCTGATTCACATTTAAATCTCAGAAGCCCTTTGACTTTTAGTGACTACACTAACAGTCATGTGATGATTGTTGACCATGATTTAACTAAGCAAAATACAAAGTAGGGAATGAGGGCATTGTGATCCTTAATCCCTGCAGGATTATGGGGATATATTATTCATGTCTGGAGAAAGATGCTTCATGCATAGTCTATTGTATGTGCAATATATGCACAGATATATTTAAGGCATTTGGTTACAAATGTACAGGCTTTAATCTGTTATAGTCATGAAATCTGTTCATGCTCACTGTGCATGCATAGAGATGCCAGCTTTAGGGGTTGGTAAATATAAAAACACCTGAGAAGGTGCATTTAATTGTATGGCTTTGATCAGAAAAGTGCTCCTGTTAGAAATTATTCTTTATGCTTTGGACCCAGTTATCTCCTTCACTTTATTTCTTATTTTATTCTTATTTGTGCTGTTGTTTTAAATCCAGGCTAGCATCCAACTCAAGAATTACAATGACGTTAGGTATCCAGATGAGATACCTAGTAGCTGGTGAGGGGAGGGGGGAGGGGGTGGAAAAGGTTAGAAAGAGGTGGAAGGAGGCGGGGACTTGGCTTGGCGTTTGCGGTGGTTTTTTGTTGTTGTTGTTTTAGACACTGCTTTCAAAGCCTCAAGTGACGTGAGAGGCACCGGTTTGATGTTTATCTGGCCTAATGATTACTGCATTTCTTCCAGGTGAAGATATGGTTTCAGAACAAACGCTCTAAGTTTAAGAAACTGCTGAAGCAGGGCAGTAACCCTCATGAGAGTGACCCCCTCCCGGGCTCGGCGGCCCTGTCGCCGCGCTCGCCGGCGCTGCCTCCAGTGTGGGACGTTTCCGCCTCGGCCAAGGGCGTCAGTATGCCCCCCAACAGCTACATGCCTGGCTATTCGCACTGGTACTCCTCTCCACACCAGGACACGATGCAGAGACCACAGATGATGTGAGTTGTCCCAGGGAACACCCTAGGGAAACATCTGAAGAAGACCAGGAGGATCCGGAACCTGTTTGCATCTGCCAAACAGAGCCGAAGGAGCAGTCTCGGGAGAACTCGTATGTGTGAGGAGACACCGGCCGGGCGCTTGCTCTTTCTCTCTCTGGCTTCTTTTCTCACTCTTTTCTACTTTTCATCCCTTTTCCCCTTTCCTCTATTCCTTCCCTCCTTCCCCTTTCTTTTTTTCCCCTTTCCTTTCCTCATCTGCCTTCTCCCTTGAACAACCTCAGTAATTGATCCTGCATCTCAGAGACAGAGAGAGGAAAGAGAGAGAAAGACTGGTTTCTATGCCGGCACTTCTGAAACCCCTCACTGTAAGGATATTTTCCCTAACCCCTTGGGATCCAGACTCTGAGCCTCCTCTCTTCTCTTTGGGAGTATCCATCAAAATGACTTTTCTTTTTACAGACATTTCCCCTCCACCAGAAGAATCTGCACAAACATGGCAGCGTTTTTACTTGTTTAATGAGCTTAAGACATTACATGATGAAAGAGAAGCATTTGGGACTCCTGCATTTTTATTTACCAATCCCAGACTGACAAAAAACAAAAAACAAAAAAAGAAAGAAAGAAAAAAAAAGTAAAGACTCTCACATAACAGCCCTTTTCTAAAGTAAAAGAAAAAAATCAGCTGTAAGATTAGAACATTGCCACAAAAGGAACGCTGCATGTTTTACCAAAATGCAATGACCAGGAATGATGATAGATTTAAAAAACAAACAAACAAAAAAAACCCAAAAAAGATCTTTCCCTATCTTACCCCCAAACCCTGAATTGGAATCAGGAAAGACAGAGGAAACAACCAAAATCACCATTCTATTGCTTTGACACATTTACTAGGTGAATTGGTGGCATTTACTAAGCTAATAGGGACGTTTATATTGAGAAACATTTCTGTATATATTGTTGAATTTTAGTTGTACATATACTTTGTATGTTTTTGTCTTCTTTCATATATGGAGTAAAAGCCACAAAATGCTGGGAGTGTCCTGTATATTTCTCTCTGTGTGTCTCTGTCTCTCTCCCCCCTCCCCTCCCCTCCCTCCCATTATATTTTCTATCACTCTTAAAAGAATTCCTATTTCCTAATATGGGAAGCCCTATATATAAACATCAAGTGCCTGCAAAGATGTCGTTTTGCACCACTAGATTTTGTCTTAAGTATTTCAACACTAACCACGGCTGTTTTCTCAGCTTTCTTTACATATTAAGCTTTTGTTATAATTTCTACACATTTACCTATTATTTTTTTAAACATTAGAATGACCTATCCTCAGGTTTACCTCTAGATACCCAGTAGTTTCTAGTGCTGAAACTGAATACTCTCCTTTCCCTTTTCCCAACCAAAATAATACAGCAGTATTTGCCTTTGTTTAGAAGCAGATTTTTTTTTAACAAAAAAGAAAAAAAAAACCCCAGCAAATTGTACAATTATGCCTACTTAATGTTTAAACCCATTGCAAGCTAGGTAGGTAGGAAAATGCACCCTCCTGGATGAAATACATCCTTCCGATCTTGTGGAAAGCACAGAAACAATGAAAATGAAAAGTTCTTTCGTCATACAAGCAGGAAACCCCATACTGTGAGAATTAATGGCTACAGACCTGGGCATCCTTCAAATTATGAACCTTGAAACCACTGAGCCATTTATCAGAAGTCAATAGAGATACTCAGAGTGCTCCATATAATGACAGCGACATACAGTCGTGCAAAAGGACAGTCACTATAATTAGACACAAAGCAAAGACTACTTACCAATATACCCGTTCCTTTTTTTGTTGAGCAACTTCCACGCTCAGTCAGTCTTCAGAATGGTTTAAAACCGATCAGTCTTGTCATTTTCTAGCATTCGCATTGTTACATTAGGAAAAATGTTTTCTTTTCTTTTTTCCCCCTTCCTACTGTGAAACTTTGGGTTCGTAGCTCCCCAGGATCAATTCTGAACAAAGCCTCCAGCTGCAGTGCCATCCAATTTGAAGCAGACATTGGGGACAATTTAAGGTTTTTATCCACAAGAAGGTTTTTTTCCATTCTCTTAAATGCAGCCATAATTAGAGTAATTTTTCATGTAGCCCGCTGATTACAGCGTTTTTACCGTCAAAGATAATTACCTGTAATTTTCTTCCACTTTTAATACTAAAAAGCCATCTTTATTTAGATTCAGGAACAGGAAAGGCGAAACAAAAGAGGGAAATTATTCTGTTATTCATACACAAATTGCAGAGACGTAGGACCTAAAATTGAAAATTAACCAAAATTATAATGCTGAAAAGAATGGAAGAGGCTGCAGAAGTACAGCTGGTAGTGGGGCTTTGCTGAATTATTCAAATTACGTTAGAGAGAAAGCTACCATACATCGAAACCAACACTAATTTTTCTTTTTAAAAAATTCACCAGATACATGCCAAACCACTGTGAGTGCATGGAATTCTGAAACCAGCAAATGCATGTTAACATGTTGGAGGTATTATTATGATACATCTGTATCGATCTCTTTATCTCTTAACATGAGTTTAATTAACCAAGAAATTCTGCAAAGTAGTCCCCCCAGAACTGTCCTTGGAATTGGGCCTCCTTTGGATCCTGCGAACCTCAAGGGTTAATGTTTTCACTCTTTAGAATGTATTGACCCCATAGTAAACCGATTCCCGAGGGATGGATTGGTAGGAGGGGCGTGGGCAAAAAGCATCTCCCAGTCGCGGTGCCTACTACGCCTCCCCACGTTCGAACTTTTCCGGACGTTGCAGAGTTCGAGTTCTAGAGCCTAGTTCTGACCATATTTTCCATTTAATAAAGACAGTGAGAACAATAGCTGAGGGGAGGGGAGGGTGAGGGTTAAGGGGACGATTTCTCCTCGGCGCCAATAAGCATCTTATTATCTTTTGACACACTTTGTGCAAAGGTTCCTACCACAGCCTTTCCGTATTGGGGGTAGGGAAGCCAAGAATTTCTCGGTCTCCTGCGCTTATCTCTAGCTGCTTGCAAAGTCTACAGGGTCAGAAAACAGTGTCATCTATAGATAGAAGAGCACGCTTCTTGCTGGAGTCTTCCTTGGTGACTTTCTAAATCAGAGTGGGTCCTTGGCGCCGCAGCTTGGTCCTGCGTCTCAGCCAATCATGCCCTTCTAACCCCAAGGTCTCAGCGTTTGGGATCGGCGGGCACTAGCTCTAAGATCCGCATACCCTCCTCCCACCTCTACCCCCAACCTCCACTAGCTTGAGGCAAAGGCCCTGAAAAGCAGCCTTGAAGGGTCTCAGAGGCCACGTATTCAGGGAACTTTCCCCTAAAGTGTGGGGAAAGATGTCAAAGGGGCTACACAGTGGAGAGATTCAGAGTACACCTGCCTTTGCAAACGTCCGCATACCTATGATTCTAAAGAAGCCCCATCGCGAGCTCCGTTTGATCTCTTGATGCCTCAAAACCTAAAAGCATGGCCACATGTAAAGACCTCAAGGGATTCACCTAGGATCAGCTGTAACAATTTTCAAGTAGATTTTAGCTGGGAATCTCCAGCCAACTCCCTCCACATCTTATAGAAACCTGGTCCTTTTCGCAGTCTCCAGTCACAAGCTGCACCAAATACAATAACAGCCCAGAAAGCAAGAAAGACAAACAAGGATCTTAAGGATCTCATTCTCACCCGAATCCGTTTACTCACCAGAACAAAAGTCCTTTTACTTTTAAAAGGGGATAAAAGGTCAGAATTGAAAAACCTATAAAACAAAGTTGTTGTCCATGATAAATTACAACAGCAATACATATAGCTTGGAAAGTGTGAGAAGAGAAATATGGACTGTTCCTTGAAGTATATAAGAAATAAAAACTTACCCCCAGTGAATATCTCTTAAGCAATGATCAGGGTCTAGAAATCTATACTGAACCGAAGCAGAGGAGAATATTTTTCTGAGTCTCAGGGCAGAAGCGCTTTCTCTATATTCTTGGTTGAGTGAGCACATCCAGGTGTGAAATTGTTTGCACACCCCAGCACCTCTTATATTGCCAGCAAAATTAGCTGTTATTACTGTCACTGTTTAGTGATGGTTAGCGTGATACAAAAAAAAAAAAAAAAAAAAAAAAAAAAACTGCTGTAATCAAGACCTGGCGCATCTTTGCAAATTACAGATAATTGTAAACGTCCAGATTATGATAATAGCATCCTAATCCAGCCTGCAATATAATTATTACAGAGTGTTACATCTGAAACTGTCCAGTAGGGCTAATTCAGCCATTATTTAGACCCTATTTTTGCACTGCAAATGGGTTGCTGAGTTGAAAATGTACGATTGTAATTTCACAGGGCACTCAATGAGTAATGGTATAGGAAGAGGAAAATACAAAAGTGAAATGTGAACAGTAGCGATCAAATCAAACCCTGAAGGACAATAGACTGTTTGATTCATATGGAAAAAGAAGAGCGGGAATTAAGAAAATAGCAAATCAGTGGTCTGAAGCATTACGTGTCCAAATCTTCAATAGTGGAGGGCCGATGTGTTTGCAAGGGCTGCTGTGTCTGCTGCTGCCTGGAGTCTGAAATAATTTTTTTTCTCTTTTTCTTTCTTCCTTTATTTTTCTTATGCCTCTCTCCTAAAGCATTTCCCTGCTTTTTTGAAAGCTCCCCTCCCCCAAAGCACAGACCATTTGTCAGTTTCATCATTGTGAAAAGTGGCCTCAGAGTGTGCCTGTCACTTGTTTATGAACATTTTCTTAAATGAATTTGCAATCTCTCTTTTCATCAGAGCAAAACGCCCTGGGTACTTGTAAGTGTTCCTGCACTCCATCTCCATTCTCTTTCATTGCGAACAAGTCATTGAGAGTCCTAGAGGATATTAGCAGAAAATGTATTAATTGCTACTAATTAAATAAAGCTGACTGAGAAGCTGTCTTCTCCAATCAGCTTGGCTGGCTATTGGTTTTAATCCCATCATTAACTTTTATTAATTAACACTCCCCCCTGCTCCCATATAAATGAGCTCAGCTGCTTCGTTTGCTACATGTCACCTATATGCCTAAAAGAGCAAGGTCAGTCTCCTTAAAATATGGGAGGACCAAAGGGGGGAGTGGCGAGTTATCACTGGAGAGGCTGGAGAGAGGCTGGGGGAGGGGGGGCTTTGCTGGTCAAAGCACTTAGGGGTTTCAAGCTGTTGTTTCCAGGAGAATAACCCCTGCCCTGGTAGAGACTTCTGGAGTCTAGTCCTGGTTCCTGCTGGGGACCTCCTGATCAGGGATAACTAAAACCCTAAGTTGCCTAGTAGCTCAGTTTCCCCAACACAAGCATCTTTTTTTCCTGGGCATCTTTTCCAGCCTCTAGTCCAAAGTGTGTTGATTCTCCCACCTCCCACCACCTCACAGACCGAGGAGCTGCCCAGCCAGGGCCACCCTGCAGGGTGGTAAGCAGGCTTCCTAGCTCCTGTGAATTTAAGGGCAATAATGAAATGTCCCCTGTTTAGTGACCTCTATTTATAGATGAAAGTTGAGTCCATATCCTGCCTCTTCCTCCGCCCCTCTTCCCCCACCTTGCAAATGGCAAGTGGCAGAAATAGTCCTTGGATGACAATTCCAGTGGC